TTGCAGTACAATGTGGTGTTTCTGTCTGTATACTCATTCAGACACATAGAGTTTAAGTAACTGATTCAAGGTCACAAAGTTAGTAAATAGCGGCATCAAGATTTGAACCTGGGCAGCTGGACTCAAGAGTCTCCACAACTTTCATTTCAAATTTTGCATCTTTCAAGATATATCAGTTAAAATTTTCCGTCTTCATCACTTTCCATACTTCAGAGCTGCATATGTAAACCTCTTGATCATATAAATATTTATGGAGTCTCAGCATTTTGAGTACATGCTGAGAGATTTTATAGCATTGAAGATGAAGAAGCTCTTTAAATGCATCTAATCTTGCCACTATTGATTTTGAACAGCATCTTAATTTGTTAACTTTTTAAAACCATATTGTATTTTTCTTCAGGACAGCTAAACTAAATGTCTTATGTTGATCTCCTGGGTTTTCTCAGTTTCCATTTATCAGTTTCCTTTCATACAAAAAGATGCTAATGGGTAACTTTACATTTTGCAAGGCATATTTTTGAAAGTATACAAGTGAAGGTTTAGTCTGCACACCCTTATTAGAGCTCTTTATTTTCCATGTGGAGGAAGAAATGCCTTGGGGCTTCTGAAAAACAGGCTTTTATTTTTATAGAGAAGAAACTTCCAGAACATGCTATGAGCAAATGCTCTGTCAAGTCCGGTCCTTTCCCCCATTACTTAAGTGCAAATGGACCACATTTGAAGAGGTTAAGTAGCAGAACAAAGCTCTCCACAAGGGGATTTTTAGGTGCTCTGAAAACCAGACTGACATAATCCATGGAGGAGTTCATCACTGCAGGCTGTCACGTTTCACAGTAGGAGTCATAGGCTGGTCTGCTTGATAAACTACTCCTGATCTATGACTGGAACTGTGTACTTCCTTAAAAATAAATCTTGTTTTTTCCTTACCCCGTGTGCTTCTCAGCCTCAGGAACACCTCATGGATTTAGACAAATCTTGTCTTTTATAGTCATGTTACCTCCAGATTCTTAGTAATAACCCCATTTCTGATCCCATTGATCCATCCATACCCACTGAAATTGAGCTAAATGCTCTAGTCTGATTTGCTCCTTGAAGTTAGTGTAGAATATTATGGCTAGACTTTGAAAATGAAGCCCCAACCACAATGCATAATGACCTCAGTAGACACTGAAGACTTTCTTTGCCTCAGGCAGGTGACAAATATCTATCTAATATTCAAAGTCCACATAGATTTGTGTCAGATTGTAGGTTGACAAATCACTTTTCACTAGCTCATGTGGCAAGCCTTTTCACCTTGTAATAATTCTAGTGAGAGATCCACAGGTACCACATAATCAGCCAGTCATTGAGATTCAGGCAATATTTGCATACTTTAGCAAAACTATAATCAGAGTCATTAAACTATGTAAGTTTTATTTATTATACAAATAGTTGATTAGCAGAAGTGCTTCAACTGAGTTGCTCCCATTGAAAAACAAGGTGATTTTATTCTTAAGAAGATAGCAGCATAAATTTCTTCTTGCCTCTAAACAGCACTTCTTAGAAGAGTGCAGCTTCACTGCATTGAATATCCCCCCAGAAGTCCTCAAAGTTCAGAAGTACACCGTCAGAACATGAAGCACATATGTTTGCATGGAAGCTGGGCTCTGGGGTCTTCCTATCATAATATGTCTATGATTAATAGTCAACATATGCCCCTCCACATCTTCTAAAGGAACATATACATGCTCTCTCTCTCTCTCTCTCACACACACACACACACACACACACACACACACACACACACGAGAACTGAATTGAGAGTTTGGGGTATATACCATCTCTGAGGGCACAGTCTATAGCTCCTAATTTATGCCATAGAGGAAGCATTATATTTTTGACAGGTAATAATTGCTGGTTAGGAATAATAGGATATCAAGTGAGAAGAGGCTGAGAAAAACACACTCCTGCTGGAAGAGTTAAGAACGAGCTCTTCATGGGAAACTATGGGAGACAATTGAAAAGGGACAAGAAGAAAGAAGAACTGTTAAGTCGCCACTTTTTCAGTTTCTGAACTGAACTTTTGCTCACAGCAGGTGAACACAGGCTCCCTCCCACACTGAGACTTCCTCCCCTGCCGGTGTGCAATCTGTTAAGTAAACAGAGACTTTACACTGAGAAAGGAACATTTCTCTATTTTGGCTATGAGTTGTTATTTTTAAAGCTTCATCCTCCAAACATTTTCCCCTCTCCTTGTTTATTTTTTCACTAGAAAGAAGATGAACTATTTAAAAAAAAAATCAACTCCATGACAAGAAAACCCACTTCTAGTATGCTCTCTCCACTCAACACCAACGGAGCCTTTGGTGTGAGCACTCTGTCAGCCCCTGTCAGCCCCTGTCAGCATGTTGGGCAGAATAGCTCTTGAAGTTTCTGCTCTGTTTCTATAGAGCTTCTATGCATCCAGATTTTCACAGTCAAAGCAAAATGCACATGGCAGTTTCTTTCTGATTCCTTCAAGTTAAAAGGCCAACCTCTCCCTTGATATAGCCATGTATTTATCAGTATACCTATAGGTAATACTTAGAGATGGCCCTTACTGTGTGCCACACTCCATTCTAAGCACTTCACATAAAAACCTCATTTAACTTTAATTGGAATTAGGATGACAATTGCTTCAATACTGAGATGGGTTGAATCTGGGGAGACTGACGTTAGATGCAAAAAGCTTTCTTTCTAGACTTTTTCCTGTGTCTTGCATGTGACTTTCTCCTTGTCTGTCTTGTTCCCATTCCAGATCTTCTGATTGACAGTGCCCATGGCTTTCTTCTCTGTACTCTAATGTTGAGCCTAAGGACTAGCATGTTATAGACTCTCAGTAGATCTTGTTGAAGGAATTAAAATAGAGAGAGAATTAAAGGCAGAGAAGATATTCTTGTTGGAATTCTTTCCTTTGGTTGATAAGCAATGTGATTTAATGTAACAATCTTGCGTCCTAGTCCCCTCATTTGGAAAATGGAAATAATAATGCTAATCTTGGAGGCCACTTAGAAGTAAATGAATATATCAGAAGTAATCAACATTTTTTAGTCAAAGAAAAAAAGTCTGTGAAAAAGATAGAAAACTAATGAGCTACTTGAAAAAATATTAATTGGATCTTTTTCTCATACCTTACACCAAAATAAATCCCCCAAAAATGGTTGCACAACACTGTGAATATACTGAAATCCTTTGAATCACCCTCTTTAAATGGGCAAATGATATGTTATATGATTATCTTTCAACAAAATTGTTATGAAAATGAATAAACCCCAGAAGATCAAAGATATAACATGAAAAGATGGAAGTATACTAGAAGGAAATATGATAATTTTTATATATTATTGAGAAAGTGACCTTTTAAAGCAAGACATAATGTTCTAGAGCCATAAATGAAAAGTTTGATAAATTTAATTCTCTATTAAATGTTTTGCAGAATAAGCTACCAGATACAAAATCAGAAGAAAAAACATAAAAAAACCATAAGAAAAACAATTAAAAATACATATAACAAATGGCTTATTACTGTAATATTTAAAGAACTCTTAAAAATCTATGTGAACATGACAAATAACAGAAAAATGGGGGCAAAGGACAAGAGTAGGCAGTACAGATAAAGCCTATACCAATATATTCTCCTATCAACAGTCTATTTTACAAGCTATTTGAAAGCAATGTTTGAACTATCAAAATTTAAAATATATAAGCCCTTTTGTCTAGCAATTCTACTTCTAAAAATGTATTCTATAGCTATCTGTACACGTATCCAAAGACATAAACATAAGGATAGTCATTGAATGAAATGTCTGTAACAACAAAATACTTGAAATCAAACAAATGTCACCCAAGAAAAAAGTGATTAAAGAAAGTTTAGCGTTCTGTTCGGTGAAAACATATTGAGCTGTCAAAAGAAGTTGATGGAGATCTCCAAGATCTATTAACTAGAAACAAAACAAGGTGCTAAACAATGTGTTTAGTGTTCATATTTTAAATGTTTATATATTTCACAAATACATACTTGTGCATGCATAGAATTTTTTAACTTGTTTCTGACTCCCTTAAACACATTGTGCCAAAATTTAACTCGTGATAAAAAAGAAAAAAGAATGCATTCCTTTCACGTGTAATATCTCTCTAAAATTCTTCAACAACCCTGTGGAAAATATATGGACACACATTTTTAAATACTACATGTTACAAACCTTTGGTTTGCTTATTTAATAGTTGCAACTACTAATGCTAAATTCTTGATGCCAAGGGTAAAAGCCTGAACTTCTAAGAATGTCATGATTTGACTTTATTTTCTGCCATCTCCTGACCTCTAACACACCACTCTATGTTCTTTCATGCTGCTCCTCCTCCCATGTTTAGGACTCTCTTCCAAGGAGGCATTCATACCTCTGCTTGATGAAACCCTACATTATCTTAAAGTGTCCACTCTAATACTGCCTATTAGGTGAATCCTTACATACCATCCCCTACAAACCAATGGGCTCAGCCCAGCCATAGTTATTGTAGTTGTTCCTGTATTTCAAAAACACTACAAAACACATCTATCAGGACTTGTTATACTGGTTCAGGCCGTGAGCATCTTGGGCTGAGGCACTGTTTTTATTCCTAGAGCTACCACATTGTCTAGAATATAGTAGCAGATCAATACACATGTATTAGAGAAATCATTTACCCAAATCTTGATCATTTTCAATTACTCATAGGTTGAAAAATTCCATATTCAACATTGCTGACTTTAGGAATGAACTATCTACCTCTTCTAAGAAGTTGAAATGAGAATGTTTTATTGATGGGAAATTATTTTTTGTTTTACCTTCTAGAATTCAAATGAATGTTCATGCTTCATGAAGACAACGTTTTTTTATTAAAGATTTAGAATCAGTAGATTTTTATGAATGTGAACCCTTTTCATGTCTTGTGGAAGATTTTCTGGTTTTTAATCTTTTTTTGTTGTTGTTATGTTTGAATAGGAACCAGGGAAAATGTGTAGAGGGCATGGTGGAGATCTTTGACATGTTGCTGGCTACATCATCTCGGTTCCGCATGATGAATCTGCAGGGAGAGGAGTTTGTGTGCCTCAAATCTATTATTTTGCTTAATTCTGGTGAGTTGATAACACAAGAGAATTCAATGCTGGATGAAATATTTATTTGTATTTTTCAACCAGATACGATGTACCCATTCCAAAAGCATAATGTCATATATGGAAAGAAACTACTGACACACATTTAAAACAACCTACCAACATTGCAGTTTACTTATGGGGTAGAACCATGCTAGCCAAGTAGACACATGAAAAATTGTAATTTGGCTTTGAATCAAATGGCCTTTGAGCTGAAATATTTGTATGCTTTCACAGATATGAGGATGTTTTCATTCAAATGGTACATGTATATAGACATATATTAGTTGATAGTTATATTATGTCTGTAAATAAGTAGGCCAAGTAACTCTGCTAAGACATTGTGACCAATTCCAGGCTCCAGATAGTAAAGAAAGAAGGCTATTTGAGACAGACCGTGTTTCTGGTCAAAACTGATTAGCTAAAAATATAGTCGGCTTGGAGATAGAAAAACCTGTTTCTAAAACAGAAGAATGCGGAATGCGATAAATTGTCCAGCTGAAAGAGCATTTTCCATTTGGTCTATGAAGTCTCATTCCACTGTCCCTTCATATTTATTTGTTTGAGAAAGCTTAGCAAAGAGCAGCATCTTTTTTTTTTTTTTTTTTTTTTTTTTTTAATGTAGTGAGGTTGGTTGTTGTATAAAGAGTCACTCTGTATCACCCTGATGGAAACTATGGTTCAGCCTGAATTAGTGCCCTGACTCCACTCAGCCTCTTGGTATTTGGATCTAAGCGTTAACTATCTAAGCACCCATGCTCACATTGGGTGTCAGCTGTACAGCAATCCCTTTAAGCTCGACCTTTTCCCCTGGCTCTAACCCCACTTCGTGACTTGTCCCTCATTCTCACATAGAAATCACAGCTATTTTGAAGCCCTGGGGCTTAGTTTCTTATACCAGTAGACACAGTCTCAAACTCCTCAACAGCTGAACTGCAGCTTGTATTGATCACAAACATAGAGAATCAGCACTTCCTTCTCTTTCCATGTGTTTTTGTCTCTTTCTGATGAGTGCCAATCCCTTCCCATAGTTTTCCACTTTTCTTCCCCACCGCTGCTAGTAACTGGCATTGCTTAATGGCTGTCACAGTAATCATTCTCACTTATCAACTGATAAATGGAAATATGTACTATTACACTAGGCAAGGACTGAATTACAGAATGAAGTCCCATGTAAAATAATATGATCGACATTAAGGAAGTGATTACCACTCCATTCAAGTTTCTGGTTCCACTCACATGCATTGTGCTTTTCATTTCAGTCGTTTGTCCTGTACATTGTAGGGTCCAGATTCCACAATGGCTCTTTACTGGATGAGAGTTCTGGGAGCAGTGCCACTCAGCTGCATGGTGCCAGGTCCTGAACCTGTGCCTTCTTCAGTGGAGGGCTGGCACATGCGGACAGCTTTCATGTGGGCAATCTGGGAACTTCAGGGAAGCCAGGCCTATCAAGTGTTAAGACTCCCACCCCACAGTTTAACAAAGTACCGCAGACAGGAAGTAAAATTAGCCAGAGTTGGATGATCCATACAAATGGATGCTCTGATCTTGGTAATAAAAATTTATTTTCTCCAGATCCATATCCTTTTCCTGCATTATTGTTTTGTGCCTGTTCCTATGACAGAGTGAGTTTTTTAAACTATTATACAAAAAAAAAATCAGGATTTTGGCCATGAAAACATTGGATTTATAGACCCAAGGTTTTTACAATCCACAGGGAAAAGACTTTCAGTCCTCACAAGAAAGTATTTTATTGAAGACTGGTACCCAAACCTCAAGACTGTATTTCCCACTGCAGGATTTGGCCTCCGTCTGCCTCCTTCTCAGACTAGTTAAACTTTCATACTCCATCCTTGTTCCTTCACTTCTTTCTTAGGATCTTCTTTGCACTTCTTTGCTCTTGAAGGGCAGAAATGCTATTGTAGAAATATAAGGCACTGTATGCTGACATAGTTTACAGTTGTCTTTTTCATGAGATAACAGAGTGGCTGGCAGCTCCTCTTTTCTATCAAGGACGGTACTGCTGGCTCAGGAGAGCAGTAAGCAAACAACCCTATACAAAGCGAAATCACTCTTTTCCCTACAAAAGTGAGCTGTGCTGCAGAAGAGCGGCTCTGCTGCTGAGCAGGACTCTTCGTGTCTCCTATTGTTCCTGAAAAACAGAATCAAAGAGGACAAGACTCTGACACACAATGAAGCGCCATTAGGAGCCATTTTCAGAATAAAAAAGTAATTGGTTAGATGAAGGATGCCACAATCAACAATTTTTTCCCACAACTGAGGATACGAATTTTTCTAAAAACCCAACCAATTCATGGCTCTGATATGGGGCAGCTCTACCTATCATGAGACAAATTACCAAGTGACTCTGACTAAGGAATCTCTGACAGGAGCCAAGCTGGAAACGCTTCAGGAAACCTGAGCTAGAAGATGCCTTTCTGACACTGGGAAACAAAACCTCAGTGTGTGGAGGAACCCAGGATTTTGTGTTGAGCCCCAGTCGCCAAGGTCTGAGAAGGCTGGGTTTACATTGGCCCCGCTATTTTGGCCGAGGCGTAAGGGGAAGTGAAAAGTTGTTGTGAGGACCTGCTCGGAATGTCTTTCTGGAAGTTTGGAGAGGGTCTCTCAATTGCCAAAATCTCCATGGGAAGCCATCTTTACAGCTTCTTGGGAGTGGGAGATATTCGTCATCATTTCTGCCCCATTTAGAATAATTTATTACTTTGCTTGCAAAAACCCAGAATCATCCATAGGACACACATTGTTTGTTTTTCCACTCCACACCAAAGGAGAGAGGCATTCCTGGTTAATCTGAAGATGCCAACTTCAAGACATTCTGAGAACTAGTTGGACAGAGCTCAAGGATAGGGCAAATCAGATCAGAAGCGATGGGCTCAGGGCAAAAGCCTGTAAAGCAGCAGCCATGCAGGAAGGATGGGAGCTGGAGCTGCAAAGGGGGCCTCAGCAGAGGCTCTGGGCCTGCCCATGGTATCCCTTCTGCCCAATAGGACTTCAGTTTTCCTGCATAATAATTCAAATAGTTCTCATTTTTCTAGGTCCAGCTCACCTTATTCAGAAGTTTTGCTACTACCCCAGTCCATTATGAATTTCCTTTCTAGTCTATTTCAATTCTAGAGTCAGTACCACACAACTAACCTAGCATTTGGTTAGTTGGTTGATTTCATTCACTACCAATAATTCAATATTTATTAAGTTCCTACTTTGGGCTTTGTGCCAGATATACAAAAATGAATGTCACCGTTGTGTGGATTTTTTTCTTTGCATTTTTTTAAATTGTACATTGAACTCCGGGGTACATGTGCACATCCTGCATCCTGCAGGATTGTTGCATAGATACATACATGCCATGGTGGTTTGCTGTCTCCATCCCCCTGCTCACCACCCCCCCCACCCCATCACCTACATTACGCATTTCTCCCAGTGTTATCCTTCCCCATCCTCCCTGTCCCCTGCTGTCCCTCCCCTCCCATTCCCACCACCTCCAACCTAGCCCAGTGAGTGTTGTTCCCTTCCCTGTGCCCAAGTGTTCTCATTGTTCATCACCCACCTATGAGTGAGAACATGTAGTGTTTGGTTTTCCGTTCTTGTGTCAGTTTGCTGAGAATGATAGTTTCTAGATTTATCCATGTCTCTACAAAGAACACAAAGTCGTCGTTTTTTAATGGCTGCGTAGTATTCCATGGTGTATATGTGCCACATTTTCTTTGTCCAGTCTATCACTGATGGGCATTTGGGTTGGTTCCAGGTCTTTGCTATCATAAACAGCACTGCAACAAACACACATGTGCATGTGTCTTTATAAAAGTATGATTTATAATCCTTTGGGTATATACCCAGTAATGGGATTGCTGGGTCAAATGGAATTTCTATATCTAGATCCTTGAAGAATGGCCATACTGTCTTCCATAATGGTTGAACTAATTTGCATTTCCACCAACAGTGTAAAAGTGTTCCTATTTCTCCACATCCTCTCCAGCATCTGTTGTCTCCAGATTTTTTAATGATCACAATTCTAACTGGCATGAGATGGCATCTCAATGTGGTTTTGATTTGCATTTCTCTAATGACCAATAACAATGAGTATTTTTTCATATGTTTGTTGGCTGCATGAATGTCTTCCTTTGAAAACTGTCTGTTCTTATCCTTCACCCACATTTGAATGAGTTTGTTTGTTTTTTTCTTGTAAATCTGCTTTAGTTCTTTGTAGATTCTGGATATTAGCCCATTGTCAGAGGGGTAGATTGCAAAATTTTTTCCCATTCTGTTCATTACCAGTTCACTCTAATGATTGTTTCTTTTGCTGTTCAGAAGTTCTTAAGTTTAGTTAGATCTCATTTGTCTATTTTGGCTTTTGTTGCTGTTGCTTTTGGTGGTTTAGTCATGAAGTCCTTGCCTGTGCCTATGTCCTGAATGGTGTTGCCTATGTTTTCTAGGGTTTTTATGGTGTTAGTTCTTATGTTTAAGTCTTTAATCTATCTGGAGTTAATTTTTGTATAAGGTGTAAGGAAGGGGTCCAGTTTCTGCTTTCTGCACGTGGCTAGCCAGTTTTCCGAATACCATTTATTAAACAGTGAATCTTTTCCCCATGGCTTGTTTTTGTCCAGTTTGTCAAAGATCAGATGGTTGTAGATGTGTGGCATTACTTCCAAGGCCTCTATTCTATTCCATTGGTCTATATCTCTGTTTTGGTACCAGTACCATGCTGTTTTGATTAGTGTAGACTTGTAGTATAGTTTGAAGTCAGGTAACGTGATGCCTCCAGCTTTCTTCTTTTTGCTTAGGATTGCCTTGTCTATGCAGGCTCTCTTTTGGTTCCATATGAAGTTTAAAGTGGTTTTTTCCAGTTCAGTGAAGAAGGCCAGTGGTAGCTTGATGGGGATAGCATTGAATCCATACATTACTTTGGGCAGTATGGCCATTTTCATAATACTGATTCTTCCTAACCATGAGCATGGAATGTT